CATGAAACACTTTTCGGAAAATCAGAGTGACCTTCATTCCGGATTAAAGACGAAGTACCAGTCTCACGCTCGCACACATATAATGTACGTATCGTCGTGCTATAGGGAATACTTTATTGTTCTCCTCTGATCAGCAATATTTCATGTTCACTAACTCTGATGTTTCTTGCAGGACTCGCACCACCCATGGTGGACCGAGCCGATAATCTGATTTAGTTTTGCTTGGTTCTTCAGTCTTATAACACTATTTGTTTTGCCCGTGGATATTTGACATTCTAAAGCGAAAGGAACTATTTATATAGTCTCTACTATATCACACTCACACACCACACACACTATTATAATTATATAATACCATATAATTTATATATATATATGCATGTATTGTAATCTATACTAAGTCATATACCAGTATATATACTACCTACACACTATATTAGTATATATATAGTATATATATATTACTTATATATATATTCATAGAAATATATAGTACCATATATATATTATATATATCCACCCGGTATTCTTCTCACAAATTCTAAATAGCTACTATAAATATATTTTTTTTATTATACCTTATTTTTTAGAGAAGTAATTACCAATAATGGAATGTAAATTAACTTTGAGAACAGAATGCCCTACTATATATAATCATACGAGTTCCCGCCCCCCACTCACACACACACACTATACTATATATATATATATATATAATTATAATAATCTACACACCTATATACTATTGAATATTAACCTATAGCACAGCTACATACATCACATCGAACTATACTACATATAATATCCCTAATATTATGATATATATTATATATATATATAGTATATTATACATATAATATACTAATAGCTACTTATATAGTATATATATACCTACCTCACCTACTCACTATTATACTATAATTACTGTTGTTAAAAAAATAAAGTTTAATAGTATTAAATAAAATTATGAAAATAAGAATTAGAAAAAAATTCTTAGAGAGATAGATAGATAGATGATAGATAATAGATAGATAGATAGAATAGGATAGATGATAGATAAGATATAGATATAGATATATACTATATATCTAACTATATCTATATATATCGTGTATATTTATATATGTAGATATATATATATCTAGTTATAGTATATAAGTATAATACTGTAATATAACTACCTGTATAGATACTATATAATACATATCAATTATATATTATAATATATATAGTTATATAATATAAAATATATTATGATACATGTAAGGTATATAGTATATAATATAAAATATAATACTATATATATATATTATTTATGTATATATATACATATATATATTATTTATATACATACATAGAATACCATACATTACCACACACACGCACACTGCACAACACACACACACACACCAATCACAACACCACACACACACACACACATACACACACACACACACACACACACACACACACACACAACACCACACACACACACAACACATAATACTATATCCTATTATATATATATATATATTATATATATTATGGTATATATATGTATGCATATATATATAATATATATAATATATATATATATATATATATAATATATATATAAAATATATATATATATATAAATAATCATATTATATATGTATATTAATATGTTATATATATAGAAAAAAAATAATAATCTGAATAAATATAATAATCAATCGTCTGTATGATATATTAATATATTAGAAGATAAAGTAAAAAATATACGCAATAGTATAATAGTAATTTCCTTTATATACATTAAATTATAATATATAATATTAATATAAAAATAATTTGTTTTATAGTATATATACTATATAATATATATGATATTCTATTATAATAAATATAATATAATATGTATTACATATTAACACACACACACACACACTCAAACAAACACACACACACAGACAAACACCACACACACAGCACACACACACACACAGAACACAACACACACACACACATCACACACACATACACACACACACACACACACACCGTCACACACACACACGCACACAGCACACACACACACACAGACACACACACACACACACACAATTATATATATATA